ACTAAATATATTTATATCCAAGTATAGTTTATAAAGATCATGAACTGGAAGCTGCAGCTTTTAAACAAGAAGATCCAAATGTCATTCTTTATGCAAGAGAAAAATTCACACGACTTATTGAATAGACCTAATAAACACTAATTCTTAAAAAGTAATTGGATCCAAGTAGATTACAAGCAATTCTTTCATAAATAAAAAAGGTGAGGTAAAAGAATTTCAAACTACAATACCTTCACTTTAGATTCTTTTCTATCCAATCTGAAACAGACTGCAAATGCTGAAAACCTGACTGTCCCACTATTAATTAGGGCCAGGAGAGAGTAACACTTTAGTCATTCAGAATTATCATCTTTGTTCTTGTAAATGCATTTAAAAGACAAAATTGTGTCACTAGAGATGAATTCCCATGAAGGATTAAATTCCAAACTACACTAATCACCAAGATGAATAATTTCTGAAAATCTACTTCTATAAAACACTGAAAATTTCACTTACTATTTCAAGTTTCCATACACTATCCAAATAACTTATAAAAAGCATCAAAACTATGCAAACCTGTAAAACCAAGTACTGCTATGTATTTATCTTTCTGCTCTGGGACATGTCCAAGAAATATCTCGACCAACATTTGGAAGCTGTCCATCAATTCTGAAGTAGTTGTTATTAGGTGTGGTTGAGTATGACTCCATAGCCATTCTACGAAAAGCTTATCATGAACCCTGTCCTACATGTGCCAGTCCTATAATCTGACACATTTGAGCTCACTGTGGCATCTTTTAATACAATTAACAATCTTGAACTATGACTTACTTCATGACAGATTATTCATTTGTGACTCCGAAAAACATTTTCTAAAACAAAAAACGAAACCAAGAGGAAAGTCTATTAGTTGAGCCTTTTCTTTGTGTTTTTAAGGCTTCTTGTTTAATTACAGTGAATGAGTTACAAAATAATTATTAGTAAACAAACTGATGGCCTAGTGGTAAACAGTTGTGCTGCAATACCTAAGGCACGCAGTAAGAGGCCACCAACAGTCCCGCGGGGGGTTTGGAAAAACACGTTTCCCAAGATTTGCAGACACCACTATGACTCAAGTTTTAGAAAAATTGTTTATACATTAGCAAGTACCATTAAAACTTGTAACACCTGTTTTAACAACTAAAACTACGGGTCAGAAACATGGGAATTTCCTCAACAAGATGAATGACAGTGACCATAACAAAGGGTTCCTTTTTAGTCTGTGTGGATAGCTCAGCGCCTGGGAAGGTTCCCATTTGCTCCTAGTCCTACTCAATGGCACCTAACAACATTAAAGTGAAAACTACCTTGTTTATGTAACACTTCATATGGTTTTTTAAATGGCCTAGTATTTTATATAAAACGAGGTTAAATCCTATTTTCTACTTCACTACTACTTCGCTGTGAATTATAAAAACAAGCCCGTTAGCACATACTGACAACGCCAATTCAGAAAATGCAGGACAGGAAATAGACGGACAGGGGCAAATTCAAATAATTTTCCTTTTACTTATAAGTTATGTATGTGAACGCAGCTGTTAATACCCACAACGCTTCAATTAAAACTCTTCTGGTTACACTTGGTTAGCTATTTTTCACACAAGGACCGGGGGAGAGGGGTGGGAATGCTGGGCTAACCCAAGACAGTGAAAATTTCAAAGTTTGTTTTCCATTTGAAAGTTTCTAATTAGCGATTAGCATTTTCTCGTCCAAGCCAAAAGGCAATTCTAAGAACACACTTCTAGGAACGTGGCGAGTACACCAGACACAGCAGCGGATCCAGCCGCAAAACCCAGGGCGGATGGAACCGCCCCGAGCGAGAATGGCCCGGAAGCGACCGGTTCTCTGCTCACGACGTGACACCGCCTTCCACCCCTCCGGCCCGCCCCGCCCCTCCTCTCCCTAACCTCCTTCCAACTTCCGCCCTTCCCACTCCTCCGCTCCCTAACCTCTTCTTCCTCCTCCCACGCCCTCCCCACCCCCAACACGGGTCGCGAATCTCTACTTCTTCCTCCCTAACGCCCCACGACGGGGGCTAGACCCTGAGGCTGCAGCCAATCTGCGCACGCGGCCCGACGTCACCACGTTCGCCCCTCCCGCCGGCGATCCACGTCACGGGTTGAGCCCGCCCAACAGACGCCGTTGTTGACCCGGCTGTTACCAAGCGCGCACAGCCAATCAGCGCCCGGCGCCAGCGCCGGCCGGCCTTTGAACTCTGAACGACAACTTCCTGCTGTTTGGCGAGTACACAGTGCAATGCAGTATGTCTGTCAGCTCTGCGGCACAAAGGAACAGCCATTTTGTTACTGAGCTGGACCTGCACCAAGATGCCAGGGGCTCGCACAACAATGCCTGCACTCACTACCGAGCTGTCCTCTATTTCTGCACAAGGGAACCAAAGGGGTGAGGAAGAAAGGCTTGGTGGCACTTCAAGTTTCCATTCCTTTTCAGGTCTCTCAAAAATTCCGATTTTTTAAGAATTAAGACTCGTAAGATGGCTGCCGGTTAAAACTGCCTGTTCCAGTCCAAAAGCCACTGCATATGCCATTTCTTATCACCGCAGCCTTGTAGAGTAAGTGCTAACTGGCTGACACAAAGCATGATTTTGTCCATATCTCGAGTTATTAAATCAAATCTGGCTCAAATGCAGACAACCTGTGGGTAGCTTTAATACGTTGCTAATGTTAAACTGCTAACACAGCGTCCTTTGTGCACAGCTGCATCCACATTCCTCCTCTAGCTGCCATTCCTTGCAATGACTCCTGTCATCCCCAAACTGCACCTGGGGCAGTGTTTCTTTCTACAATGCACCTCCTTAAATATACATACAAAATGTTCAGGTAATAACGAGGACTTGAAAAGTCAACTTTTAATTTTTCCAAACTAACATCAAGGATAGGACACCAAAAAAGAACACGATTACAAACTGAAATAATCTCCATTAACTACTGCACAATTTCCCAAAGAGGGAAACTACTTGTCCCTAAGTTTTATATACATCAATACTTTCGGGCCATGTATTAATTCTCAGACCAAAGTTTAAGTGGCCTGTAAAGTCTTCATTTCCTCTCCTGGGGCTCAGGCTGCAAACCTTCACTGAGAGGGGATGATTGTGCAGATGACAGTGCAGGCAGCCCAAAGATCCCTTCCTGTCCCAGTTACCACCACGGTCCCAATCTCATGTCACTAGAATCACTTGAATCTACTGTATTAAAACACCCCCTAATGTCATCATTACATACATTAAAGTATGCATTTTTGGGAACCTATAACAAGAACTCCACTTTCTCTTAAAGGAATCCCTCAAATCTGTATATTCATCAGGCACCTGATTTAAAGTATAAGCTGACAAAACTTATTTACAAGTACATGCTTCTCAGTTCACTTGTAACCTCGCTGACAGAAGGCAAATGCCTGTATCTTCCACTTATTTTTCCAGGTGGGAATACTAACAAGTATTGAAAGAAAAACCAAAACAGGCTTTAAATTAGAAAGCATATGTTAACCACAAACCTTGCATAAGAAAGAAAAAACTCATGAGACTATGCAAATTATATACTCAAGGGACTAAGTTTTAGTTACTGAACCTTAATAATGTGTCTAGTAGAACTCTAAGTTTACTATTTCTTCAAATGGTCCTTACTTTCTAGAGATACTAGGATTAGTCGAGAAGTTCTCGGTCCTAAATTTAACATAGGTAAATTTCATGAGGAGTTCAGCTCAAAAGACAGCACTCTAAATTGTGGCAATTCAATTTGCAAAAGATTTGAGTTTTATAAAGATCAAAATATTTTGAAAGGTAATAAAACATAAGACTTTACCTTTGTAATAAACCAAGTATAATACTTTGAAATTCACCAATAGTAAAAAATGTATAGAGAAAATTTTTTAAAAAATCACATGAAACAAATCACATCTTTGTTAATTGATTTATAATGTGTAAAACTACAATTCGTAAGCGGTACATCAAGAAATGCATTAAAGTACTTTTCAAAAAATTAATATACAGAGATAACATATTGTAGAGGCTTTATTATTTAATCACTAACAATGTACTCAACAAATGCAAAACAAATCATGTGAACAAACACTTAAGCTTCATAAGATAAAATATTCCAATGACTGTTTAAAATAAAAATCAATACATTTTAAATCATCTACAACTAAGGATAAAATACATCTAACAACCAGAAAGCACTGCTACAATGCAGGCAAACAAATGCAAACCTTAAAATGTCTTAAATGTAAAAATACAATTGTAAAGATAATGAAGTAACAAGCACAAAACAAAAATCTAAAAACAGTATTCCAGGATTTCTGTAATCAAAGGCTTCATGTCATACATAAACTGTAACCAAGTAATAGTTTTAATAAATTGTATCAAAATATCTTAAAATGTTGAGTGTATCCAAAGGAATATAGTCAAATGAAAATATAAACCGAGAGGCATCAAAGGGGTTTTTTTCAATTTCACTTTAAAATGTACATTTTTTCATTCATATAACTTTCTCAAATGTCTATTTACTATAATTTACTACGACAAGGCTCCTCTATGGCCTTCACTCACAAGTTTGGGGATCCTGGTTCTTCAAAGAAAAAAATTTGCCTTGTATGTAAAATGGTGCAATGCAGCAATGGCTAAACCGACAAGGTCATTTTTCTGCAGCACAAAAAACCTAAAACCTGAAATTTATTAACAGAAAAAACTGTAGTTTACAGGAAAGGCCCCTCTGAATAAGGGTACCTTACCTTTTGACTGCTCTAAAAGGCCTTAAGTCACAACTCAACTTCCATAAATTGCTACCAAAAAATTAGGGTGTGGCATATTAGCAATCTCAAGGTCACACTTTAAAAAAAGGAATCTAAATTAGTAAAATACTGAAAATAAGACAGACAGCAATCCATGCCTGTCAAGGTAAACACTGTAAGCTGAGGTTCCCCCCTAAAAAAAATAAAAAAGGAAGAAAGTTGATAGCTCATACCTCGATACATTGCTGTGTAGCGAACTGTCCTCCTCTTGGCTTTTGTCCTTATTTCTCATCATCTTTTAATTCTTAAATATTAAAGGGGAAGGGGAATCTGTTTGCTTTGAAGTCCTGTGCCCAGGTATTTACTGTCAAAAGTTGAAAGAAAGGTAAGGTCCCGGCTTCTAACGATGGTTTTTATCAGGAACAAAGTCCTGACGATGTAATGACAGTGTTCTAATATAACAACGGCAAGCACGAAAAAACATATAATTCTATTTTTGGCTTTTTTTAAAAAAAAAAAAGGAAAACGGAGCAAGGGAAGCATCACTATCAATAAAGAAAGTTTCTCAAAGTAACATACTGGATACAAATAACAATCTGTCTCTTATTGCGTCATCCAGAAATTTCTCGTATTTACAGAAAATAAAGCAAACTTAAACCTTTAAATCTTTAAAATAATCACTACTGATCATGAACTTACCTGATCCATGTAGTAAGTCCAATGCGAGAGTCCTATCTAGTAGAAAAATACCTAATCCCAAATAATAAAAAAGGCAAAATTCCCCATTTAAAAAAAAACGAAAAACAAGTAAAATAGTCCTCAAATATGCCAAAAGGCACCAAAAAAACCACACAAAAATGAATACTAAAACGGGTCGGGAAGGAAAAAACCTCATTAGGAGAGCGCACAAAAATGGAGGTGCGCCATGGCTTCTAAGCTGGAAAAACAACGACCTGGGCGCTCAGTACGGCTGCTCCTTTCCAACAAGGCACGAAAAGAAAGCTCCTAAAAGCTGCTTTTCTCCCTAAAAAGGGTCGGGATCGACCCCAGCAAGCCACTAGGAGAGGCAGGGGGCTGCGGGGGCCCCCTGAGGCTGCCTCAAAGTTAGGGAAAGTTGCGTAAAGTGAGGCAAAGGCAGGAGCAGAGCGCGCTCTCTAAGGCACAGCCGCCATCTAGAGCCTCCTTCCCAGCTCTGAGAGCTCTGCCTTTGATTGACACTCTCTACATTTACCCCACAACTCAGGTGATGTACCATAGACCCACCCCTTCATCTCCACCAAAAACACCCTCCACCCAGGCAGCCCAGGACCCCCACCCCCACACCTTCCACCCCACCAGACCACCCCAGGGGAGGGAGGGCTCCTCAGCCCCCTCTGGCTTAAACACCCTTTCAAAGCCAGACAGAAATGTAATTTGTTCCTTTTGTTTAAAGATCTGCTAAATATTTCAGTCCTTGAGCTAAAATAACTTCCTTTCTGGACAGGAAGTGGCATTTTATCAAGCCATTTTGAAAAAGGGATAATGCTTAGAGAACCTAAAGCTTAGCTTAAGTATTAATCCTTTTAAAAATTACCCCCCCCAGGGGTAAAATGGTTCTTAAACAAAAGCAAAACCTCAACTTCATAAATTAAATTCCAGTGTTGCCTTCTTTATGTTGTAGAAAACTAAAATTAAATTAAAATTTAAGGGGGAATTTTCCATCCAACTGGAAGAGGTAACTTTCACAACCCAAGAGCGCCTCCCTAGTGTTCAGATGCATCAGAGCAAAACGTAATCCAATCAGTTTTTAATGCAAGAATCTCAATTTTTATCTGTACTTCCATAAAATTCTTTAACCCATTATAAAACCTTGGAAACTTTACAAAAAAACTCCCCAAACCACAATATACTTTCCTCCCATATAGACTTAAGACAAAATTATTCAAATTCAAGAACATGGGCACTACCAACATCACTTTTACATCACAAGCCCAAGAAATTCAACAACCAAAACTAGTAATACATATATTCAAACTATGCCCCTCAATTTTCAAACTTCAATTCTAACTATACATTTCAATACTGGTAAACAGCTTCTATCATGTGATACGTTATCAAACAAGTAAAAAGAGATTTAAAACGATGAGACCCATGAAAACAAAATTACTAATACCAGAAACAAGCATTCAATAGCTCCTTACAATAAATATTCCAAATATTTGTTTAATTATTCACCAAATACTTACACTAAACAGATAAAATGAAATAAATACCCCAAAAAGATCTTTTATCCAATATATAATAAATGTTAGACTGTCTTTTCTTCACTTGAGAAATTCCATTTTAGATTTGTAATCAACAAAAGCAACAACTAAGTGAAACACAGAACCATTAATCAAGCCTCCAACTCAATCCTATATACTTTACAAAGATATTTTGGTACCAAAACCAAAATTCCATTTTTCTATACCAAGGTCAAACACATCGGCTTTGCCAACAATAATGCGCACACAGTATGTAACATGTATGTGATGTTAACCACGGCTAGTATGATTAATATTATGAGAAAAATCTGAACTAAATTATATATATCTTGGTATCTATATAATGTGACAATTCAAGTAAATATCCATTTGGTCTGTCAACATAAAGATTACCAATAAATAAAAGTTGGTATTCATTAAAACAATATGATGTTATGACATTCAACTACTTCGAATTCCCAACTACAGAACAATTTAATTCATATTATCACCAGGATTTTTCTCTTAACTATTAAGACAATAGAAGGTATCAGTATAAATACACAGATCAATACTGAATAACCTTAAAAAGCATTGGTAACAAGGCCTTTTCCCATCAACACAAAGTAACTTCAAGTGAAATACTGTATTACTCATTAATTCCGACATTTTGGAGCAAAAGGCATTCATTAAGATCTCACAACATACTAAAGAGCCTATTATCACCCACTGGCTAAGTTGTTTTGCCAAAAGTGTTTCAAGAAAATATACATGAAAGAGCCATCCCAACCAAATGACCATCTAAAAACAAATAAATTTCCATAACTTTGAAAACAGACAAAGGAAGTATTTTTCAGCACACCACTTCCATTTTACCAGCTTTATTCAGTACATTTTACTGCTCTTCAACTGTAAAGATCAAAAATGTTATCTCCATAAATGACCATTTAATGGAATTTTTAAATTTTAAAAAAAGCCATCAACTGAGAAATTTTTAAGTTAAAAATTTTATTAAAGTTAACATTTCATAAGGACATAAAGCATACAAACTACAAAAATTTCCAAACATATAAACTATAACTTAATGTTAATGTCCCATCTTTCTTCTCCAAGTATCAAAAAAATTCTCTTTTAATGATACAAAGTCTTTACATCAAATCCATTGTCCATTTGTGTTGGATAATAAACCTATAATCTTCATTCATTTCATAGAATCCATGTTAAAAGTACCCTGTCTTGGTTGTACATTATCACAGCACTCTTGTTAAATCCATTTTTCTTATTCCCCATAATGGGCTGCCATCTTGAATTCTGAGAGCTGTAGATGTTCATTGAAATGAAAATTAAACAACCTAAATTAAAAAATTAAAAAAAAAAAAAAAAAAAGGCTGTTGGAATACCGGTCTCATTTATTTCTTCAAACAAGAACATCCACCCACCTTGAAGATAGTCTTACCATACACAAAAACTTTAAATATGCAAACAGCTTCAGGCTATGAAGCTTAGTTATCAGGAATGTTGTAGGTACTACACCTCCAGGGCTGATCTGGCTTGAACTTTTCAAAGACAAATCAAAGGGAAAACTGTATACAGGTTCTGTCAAAGATACATTTGTATCCATAAAAAGGGGCAGTGAGGAATCAAAATTTTAATAGTTGACACTAACAATGTTATTCTATGTGAAAACAAAAATAGAAACTCAAATATCTTGGAAAGTTAATTTCTAACAAGTATGAATTCTAAATCTCAAAAAACTTCCCAAGTTTCTTGGAAAAAAATTATAGAGAAAAGTCTTAAAAAGGATTTTTAAAGGGGGGGGGCATATTTTGTAGTCTAAGAACTGTTACTTCTGCACAAACACAAATAGCTAATTTTGCACAAATAACAAACAGTATAGAAACTATTATTTTTAACCATACATGTAAAAACTCAAGATATGTTCAACCACTAGAGGAAAAAACCCCATCAAAATGAAAATGTTCACCTAAAAATAACTTAGAATCTACCAATTTTAAAAATCTATACAACTAAAAAACTATCATTTCAAAACTATCAAATGTCCCTCAGAAAATATTTTTTAATTAAAAAAATTTAATTGGAGAAATGAGAAGCTGGATGATTTTACTCAATGAAATGGTCCTGATTAACTATAACCAAATGTTAATTGCAAAACCAAGGGTTAAACCTTTGTCTTCATTAGACATTTTGTAGCTTTCCAAATAAATTTATGTAAATACAACCAGGGTGACTAACTTGGGAAGTAATTATTAGGATACTTGTGGTTATTAGGCAATTTCCTTAACTCCTAGACTAAGTAAAATATATTCTCACAATACCAAAAAAATCTACTTAAACTACTTGGTTAAACAAGAGGCAATGAATCCAAATAATTATCACATCAAATACCATGTGCATCTGAATGCTTCTCTTCATTTTCTCTAGGCACTTGAGTAGGAAACAAGTCCCTGGATGTTAGACATTATAAAGACATGTATTTATGCCTTCTCCTCTGTATTCCTCTTTCTTAAATTTAAACACATAAATTTAACCTTACTGAGAATTTATACAAAGAACTTATTTTGTCTTCTAAATAAACTTAAGTTTTTATGTAAAAAGAAATCAGTGATTAAAAAATTAAGATAAATTTGCCCGTTTCTCCCTATCTAAAAATAACACTCATTTTCATTAGTAACATTATTTTCCATGTTAACTGTACATTCCTGAAAATGAAGATCTTTATATATATATAGATTTTAATTTTTTTTAAAAAGTCACTGTGTACTCTTTAAACAGTTAATTATATAAATTCTCCCCCAATCTGATAAAATAAAAACAAAAATAAAGCTTTATAAAGTTTAATCTCCAAGAAAATCTAATGTTGTCATTGTTGTTATGTACCACTAAGTCAGAACTGACTCACAGCTGCCCTTTCAACAGGCTTTCAGAAGCAGTACATCACATAGGAAAGACTGTTCATCTTTCTCCCATGGAGCAGCTGCTGGTGGTTTCAAACCATATGCCTTTGTGTTGACAGCACAAGCTCCTTAGTACTAGGCCACCAGAGTTTCCAGTACAACTTATTCCATTTTAATGATCAACTCAATGCTTTATATTCTTGTGCAAGAGTTATGATAAGTAAATGCATCAAGAGCATTGTATTTTCTTTAAAAAAAATCGTAAGTTTTAAAATGTCAAGAAAACAGCATTAGTTAAATCATTCCAAAGTTATTCAGTAATATGCACTGGTTTGAAAACCAGGATGTTGGTTTATGTGACAACAGAAAACAGAGTAAGTGATGCTGTCCTGCGCATTCAACATTGATTTAGAATGCTTCCAAAAAAGTAATGTCAAAGGAGTAAAGAGTAGGAACAGAAAGTCACAATCTCCATCCCTTCAAAGAGAAACATGAAATTTTATTAGTAAATACTCATTCATGTATCAAAGTACCATAAAATAAAAGGTAAGGAGTTTGGGATAAACCTGATGCTGGAATTTCAAGGTCCAAAAAAAGCTAACTAGAAAAATAAAGAGTTTTTATGTGTCTGAAGTTTTCTGGGGAAAAGTCTTCTTACAGGATTTTTTTTATCTACAAAATGGAAGCACTAGTAATACCTACCTCATGTGACTGAGGATTGAGTTAATACATTTACAGTACTTACAACAGTACCTTCAATGCACCAAGACCTCAATAAACATGAGCTATTATTCTGATATGACAGAAGTTACAAAAGTATTTAAGGACCTAGAAAATTATCCTTAATGAAATCAAAGTAATTTAAATTCCAATTAAGAAAAATTTTAAAGAATATACAGGATCAATTCATTTAAAACATTTTCTGGTTTCAGTCTTGTAACAAAATAAGAAGTATCCAATATCTTACTGGATAGAGTTTAGATATCCAAACTCCACTGTACAGAAGACATACAGAGATGATGCACTATAAGAGTCCATCATCAGAAAGATTCACATAGCT